TGGGAGTGCTCCCTGGAATGGGCGGGTGTTCGTTCCCTTACAATGGGTTCTGCTGCATCAGGCGTGGGAAACAAGGCCGGCTGGTTAAACAAGGGCCTGCTGATGGCGGTAAGCTGCGCCCGGGGGCTTGAGGAGTGCAGTGCACCCACTTCTCCATCTTCTCCAAAGGGTGTTGGGGGGAGGAGGGGGGCTTTCCCACCTAGCTCCCGGCTGGGCCGCAGCTGCTCCCGCTGCCAGCACCTGTGCTCATGCAGACAGCACTAATCAAGAGCAGCACTTGCTGGACGACTCAGACGGGATCTTCTATTCACCACAGCTATTTCCCCGAGTGCCTACTAAGCATCTAGCTCTGAGCGAAGCCCCAGTATAAGCAGAGTCTAAGAATCCCGACGATTCTCAGCTCTGAGGAGGAGGAGGAGGGTCTAGTCACACTGGAAGATGGATTCCCCCCAGGGCAAGTCCAACTTCCTCAGCCTGGGTGGTAAGGGCTTGCTCAGGGCTTTGCAGATGCTGTGGGCACAGTCGGCCCTGTCCTCACTGGCTCTGGTCCCGCACCTGACTTCATCACACTGCCCAGCTCTCAGAGGTCCCTGGCCTTCCAGGCTTGGCTCCAATGCCACCTCCTGGCCAGAACTGGCTGTTCCTCCTCAGCTGACATGCTCGCTGTGGCACCTGGACCTGTGTTTGGCAGGGATTTTATTTTAGCCCCTCCCGCAGCCAGCTAATCAATCATACTCACGCGGACTTGATGGGGCAGAGTAGAGCTGCTTCGGCGTGTTCCTCAGACTGCCAGTCTTGACAGAAGCACACAGCCTCCTGTCTCCTGGGAAGTGGCTGGTGAGCTTGGACCTCTCACATGCCACCCAGAGCCTAATACTTTACCTATCACGGCACCAGGGCTCCTTCCTGAAAGGAGTAGGAGAAATTCCTGGGCGATCCCTCTGCCCAGCCTAGCTCAGGGCCGATGCTCAAGAAATAAATGATTTTGACGTAGGCAAAGTTGTTTCAGTGACTACACAAGTTAACCCACAGTTGGCAGAGCTGGGGGGCAGTGTGGAGGCAGGGGATAAAGGAAGGTGGTGAAGGGTCAGGCACTAGCTGCAATGGCTTCCAGTTGGGGCCTTGATCTTCTGGAGGATGGGGTACACGGAAGACCAAACTGCCCAAGGCAAGCTCTAAGGCTCGCCAGCAGGAGGGCTTGGACAGGGACCGGCATGCCCGAGTGGGACTGCTGCGCCGGGGTCCTGCTTGTTCCTCCTGCCCTGTTTCCCAGGGCTCAAGGGGACATGCCGGGGTGGGAGGTGCCTGCCTGGTTGTCACTCTCTCGGGGACACGAGGACTCACGCTGGTGGATGCGTTCCACGAATCCTCGGGCCACTGGGAGCTGAGCACTCCGTTGTTCATAGAGCTTTGAGTGAGAGGGCAAGTCCCCAATCAGCCGTCAGCACCCGGAGGCGGCGGCATGAAGTGGTCCGTGGAGATACAAGGAGTTGA